GGAACACCTCGATTCAAGAAGTGTTTTCGTAAGGATGATCTTCATCCAAGCAACTTTCGTGGGTCAATGTTGAGGTTAGCAAGTTCAACCTGAAGTTATCCCAATCGGCTTGATATAGGTTCCATTTTGCCGGTAGATAATGCTGCATTTGTCTGACATTGAATTTTATAATTACAAGAATTTTTTACGCCACTGACTAGATTTAGTTTCGATTTATTTTATGCGATCAGTTAATGACGCCCTCAGAAACACTCCAAAAATACAAGCAGCAATCTACGGATGTTTATTTCTTTAAGTTGAGATTCTTTTGCCTAGTTTATCTAAACTTAAGTGATTAATGTCTGTATATAAACGCTTGTTTATGCTTTCTTTTTTTATGCTTGCTGTTCTTATCTAAACCATTGGCGAAAGTTCATTTTTGGTGGATTTTATTGTTTAAGATTTTAAATGTTTGTATTTCAAATTTAGTATTAAGTATTAATAAGGTCATGCACTTTAGTTGATTTACTTACCAGGTGAATTAATAGGCAGGTGTGGTGAATTTATTCCTTAACCTCGACCGCTCACAATTAGCACGTGTACCCTTTTTTACAGATAGATCCCTTTGGGATTTAATCCAGGAGGGGGTGCCACAATCAATTTTCACTTTTTTTGTACTTGGATCTGGTAGATCACGTATAGAATCATTAATTGGTTCTTTACCCGGGACCCAAGACACACAACTGCTTGTCTTGAGGTGCTGGGCGTCACAACAGCATTTATGTGCTATTAGCATATTTATTGCAATTTTATAATATTTTATTTTTTTGTAAGGACTCTTCTAAAGCTATAAATATTTTTTTATTTAAGGTGCTTCGACTGCTTAGGTCATTGGTACCAATCTTCTGAGAGAAAAATCCTCTTGGACACCCGAACAAAAAACGTTGGATGGGTAGTGCCGGACTCCTACCGGCTAAAAACCTCTCAGACTGTGTACAAGAGACAAAAGGAACGGCAAATATAAATAAATAAAGGTACAAATAAATAAATGAAATATATCATATGTACAAAAAATTAAATTTCCTGAGGGTAATTTACCGTATCAGGTAGGTGAGAACTTTTGCTGTATTTTTAGGATCATAATTGAGTAAAATATTTAGTTCCAGCTCAGCTGTATCATGTAGTACTCTTTGGTTAAGAGTAAGAAATTCTACAAGGAGGTGCTTGACTGAGAGGGTTTTTCCACAGCCATCGCATTCAGGTAAGTCTCCGCCATCTAGGATATAAGATTTAGTGGCCTTGGTATGACCCAAATTTTAATATGGTGGTAATAACCTGTTCTCTCCCTTAGACGAGCAACCCCCCAACAGACCACTCTGTCCATAAAGCTAAAACCAAATTTTAAAGCTCTCTGAAAATCCGCAGTTTTCCAAGTCTGAGTTCCATAATATTGTCTTCATATTCTTGCATCCACGAGGTAATCCCTGGAATATAAGAACCTTTCTCAACTGGCATATTAATGGGTAACCCTTAGACTTGAAGAAGGGCCTTTGTAAGTAGGGAAGTTCTTCTTAGAGGTTAGAAAGGTTATGTTGTTTATGCTGTAACCTCAACTCGAGGGCTATGGCGAACGGCAGCTTTTCAGCGGAGAGATGGGTCGATGGGAAAATGTTGTTTCTCGATACTTACGTGTATACAAAATATATTTACTAAATTTATAAAGGTAAATTAAAATTGGTCGCCAGTGTCTTATTATGGCCAGTTGTTAAAATCCAAGTAAGTCAGACACAATCCTACTAAAGATTAAGAGCGGTTATTAAAAGTCAAGTTAAAAAAAAAAATCAAAGATATATTTGTTTCACCGATGTTGAAGTGAACACTTTTCATGTAATAATAAATATTTGTTCGATTTATAATTTTGGTGCACCCATATATGGCCATATATGGTTTACAAAAACCAAAGTCTGATAGACTAAATTAACTGACAAAATATTATCGATGATACAAAAAAAATATACTTAAAATATCTATGTTGAACTCTCAACTCAAAAGTACACAAACGTATAAGGAGTGTAGTGCACGTTAACATTAATATTTAAAATTTGTACGACCTGAACGCAGTTGGGGCTCTGGTAGTTGTTTGTCTTTCGATGCTGAAATCTCCTAGCATGTCAGATTGTCATCATAGTTTTTTATGAACATAGTTAATATAACCCAACAGTCTTGTTGGGTTCCATAAACATAGATAACATAGCCAAATAGTCTTGTTGGATTCCACAAACATGGTTAAACCAACCAAAAAACCCGAGCAAAAACTGCATAAATCCCATAAAAAACTATACTCCATCTTAAAAACCCCTTATTTTAAGGAGCTTTCAAACTAAAGACCATTCAACAGCGTTGCCAATGTTAACAAAACTAAAAACAGGAGTGTTTCGGGTTGCATACTATCAAAACAAGGTAATAAACAAAATAATAAAAATAATTAAATTCTTTTGGAAAGAGGCAACTAAACAAATATGATTATTAAAAATATACTTAACAATTAGTTAAACTAAAAATAAACCACTTAACAGTTCACATCTATACCGTTATAGATGTACAAACTAATAAAATATAATCAATGGGTAACTGTCAAAATGACGGTTACAATGCAGACTGAACGTAGGCGTGGTCCTAAATGCCCCCAGAACTAAAAGGACCCCTGTGTTATGAATAACATCTAGGGGTCAGAGGGTAGATTTAGGGACAGATCCAAAGACTATAGATCCGCAATCCAGCTTAGACTGGATTAAGGGTTTATAGAGTACGGTCAAATTGTCTCTGTGTTTAGCGTATTATCCTTAACTACGCCCAATTATTTTAGCTGGGGAACGCAGTCCAGTGGAATCTTTTATGAATATACTAGGGCGGTAATGCGGAGTTCCTAAATTAGATTTTAAGAGAGATAATTTATATCCTATTTTTTCCCCTGCCTTGATCTCGGAAGAAACGACCACTTAAAAAGGACTTAACAAAAATTGGCATATTCCCACGGTGGAGAGTTTCCAAGATTCCATACCTCAACATCATGTCATAAGTCTTCTCAATATCGAAAAAACCGGCAGTAAGATATTGTCTTTTGCTAAAAGCTGACTGGGTTGCCTGCTCGAGATAGACCAGATTATCCAAAGTCGATCTGCCGGTACGGAAACCGGACTAATACTTGGAAATATATCCAGTCATCCCCATACACTAGACCAGTTTTTTGTTTACCATTGATTCCAAAACTTTGCTTAAACATGACGTGAGGCTTATTGGGCGATAAGAACTAGGATTGGTAGGATTCTTTCCTTCCTTGGGGAGGGGGATAACTAGCGCTTCCCTCCATTGCAATGCATTGGGTCGGGTATATACCTTAACTAAATATTTTTTTGAAGTCTTCATGGGCTTCCCGACAAAAATCATATACGATATTTTCTGGGCCCGGGAAGCTCTTTTTGGCTCGTTCGAGAGCACACTCAAGTTCACTGATGGTAAAGGGCCCGTTATATGGATGTATATACTCTGTTTCAAAATCCAGTTAGACTTTTTGCTCCGATCTTCCTTCCAGAAAGTTCACATCATAATTTTGTGAGCTACTCACGTTTTAAAAGTAATCTGCGACCTTCTCTGCTATGGAGTTTGTTTCGGTTATAGTGTTGTTATTATTAATAATGCAATTTATTGGTGATATTTGCTTGCAACCTGACATTTTCTGATTTTTTTCCATGCAAGTGAGGTTGGTGTGTGGATTAATATTAGTGATATATTTTTGCCAGAAAGACCTTTTTGCATCTAAAATGATGCGCCTCGACTTCCCTCTGGCAATCTTGAATTTAATAAGATTTTCCAGGTGCCTTTTAAATGTATTAAATGCTTTTTTTTTTCTTTTATAGCATTTCGGACTTTACTATTCCACCAGGGTACCTGTTGTTTAGATATATGATGATTGCTAGATCTTGGAACACCTCGATTCAAGAAGTGTTTTCGTAAGGATGATCTTCATCCAAGCAACTTTCGTGGGTCAATGTTGAGGTTAGCAAGTTCAACCTGAAGTTATCCCAATCGGCTTGATATAGGTTCCATTTTGCCGGTAGATAATGCTGCATTTGTCTGACATTGAATTTTATTTTTATAGGAAAATAGTAACTGTCATGTAGGGCTCTCCATTTCAAACGGCAAGCGGTTGAGGAGAAGATTAATGAAAGATCTATACGTGAAAAGTTGTTTGATCTGAAATTAAGGTAGGTTGGTGAGCCATCATTTAATAATATTAAATCGGCGTTTCTTAGAATTCCACTTTCTAATATGACACCACGGACATAAAGTTTCTAAAATGGATTGTGGGCGTTAAAATCGCCCACTATAAGAAACGGAATAATATTCTCAATGTATGCAGCCGTCCAGTCAAAACGAGATAGGTATATATTACAAACACATAGGTAGCAAGGTTAATTAATTATAAGGACTTGTAAATTAGTGTTAATGTTTATTAATTTTTACTTTCAGATCCTTTCTAATACCGATGTCGACTTCACCGTTTGCTCTATGATTAACTACAGCAACACATCTTGTAAAGCTGTAGTTTTTAAAAGCATATGGTTGACCCGGTTTAAGATGGGTCCCTTGAATACAGATGCAGAAAGGGTTAAATCTATTCAATATAAGTTTCAGATTACAATATCTGTATACGAGTCCGTTGAAATTCCATTGAATTATGGATTTCATTTTTAGAATTTTATAGTGTTTGTAACAATAAATGTATATATGGGTAATAAATAATTATAAATAAATAGATGTATAAATAAATATTTAAAAAACGTATAAGAAGACAGATATTAAACATGTACGTTAAGAGTAAAATATAAATATAAATATAAATAAGTATGTATATTGGGACAGAACCAATAGGTAATATAAAAAAGAGTAAGATTAAATAAAAAATAGGTATCACAGATAAAAATAAAATAGTCAGGTTGCGTCAAGGTTGACCACCAGTTTCATTTCATTATATTCTTGGGGTTTTTTGGGGTTTGCCTTTTGGCCACCGTTTTGTTTTTTTGTCCATTTTTGTCAGTTTTTTTGCTGTTGTCTGACTCAGCTGAATCGTCGCCCTCTTTTTGTCGTTTTCGTTTATCCGAGGAGATGGATAAGACGGATTCTGTCTTTGATTGCGATCTCCTGGTAGGTCTAGATCGAGTATTTCTACTTGTCAGTTGTTGTTGTAGTTTTGATATGGCCTTTTTTTTCAGTGTACCAGAAATACTCTGACTGGATGATGCCGCAGGTACAATAAAACTTTTGTCGCTGGTCAGGATGCTTTGGCATATTTTTACAATTTCAGATATTAATTCTTGAACTATATCCTTAATATTAATTTCCGGTTTGTTTTGTGCCTTGACGATCTCAGAAAAATATATAAGTGTTGTCTGTTTAACCCTTTCACGGGCTTCTATATAAATTATTTTTTCAAGAGTTTTGATTTTTTTGGATAGCTGCATCCTCCTGATTTATGGGGCAGTTCCTAGACCACAGTTTCCACATGTGGGTGATACACATTTGTCCTCGTGCTTTGGTTTACCCCATTAAAAGAAGCGCATAGGGTTTGGGATGTATGGCCTCTCTTCAAGGCGGTAAAAGGCAGCCATAATATATTTTGGAAGAGAGGGTTTATCAAAAGTCAGAATATGACTTGCAGTTTCAATAATTTTCCCTTTACTTTTCTTGGTGACCCTTTGGACTTCAATAACGGCTTCATATTCTAAATATTGCAATATCTCTTCTTCGCTGTAGTTAAGGAGGTCTGGACAGTTGACCCCCCCCTCAAGAGTTATTTAAAGTTCTATGTGAACAGACTTTTACCTTATACTCGCCGAATCTAACAAGGTCACGAAGCTTCTTAGCCTGCTTGGTAGATATGGTTTCAACTAATAGACTTTCTTTAATCTTGTTTATGCTTCTTAGTTCTCCTATTAATCCATTTAGGGTTTAAGATTTAACAACGGAATTTATTTTAAAAAATCTCCATTTTACAGTTTGACTCTTGCTTGCTAACAGAGTGGCCTTAGATTTTTTCACATAAATACCAAATATGTTGTCACATAAACAAGAGTTTAGATTTTGTAGGCCTTTATTTAATCACAGAGTTTCCTTTTATTTCTTCCAGAAATAAAAAACATTCTATCATCTGCAAAGAGGGAAATATATATATTTTTTTACACAATATCATTTAGATATAAATTAAATAATATTTGTCTAAAACCGGTTCCTTGAGACCCACCCCATGTAGTTCGTATTTCACTGGATGTTGTTCCATTAAATTTAGTTTTTTAAAATCTGGTTGTCAAGTAACTTTTAAACCATTTTAAAAAAATTTCATGTATACCAATTTTTTATACCAGTTTTTTCACTAAGAGGTCTCCATATATAGTTTAGAACCCACGTTTAAAATCCAATATATTTTAACCATTGTGTGCTAGTAACACTTTCACATGAATGACTAAAACGGAAACCAGATTGGTTATGACATATCTCATTGTTTCTTTCACAACACACAAGTTGATTTTTAAAACACATCTCCAATAATTTCTTATACAAAGGCACTACATTTATAGGTCTAAAATCTTTACAATTTATTGCATTTGTACTTTTTGGCTTAAAAACGATAATCGAAGTTTACAATCATTAGAAAAAATTCCAGAAGTTAACGAAGAGTTTATGAAATCCAAAAATCTGTTTCCAAAAGTATTAAATGCAGACTTTGATATTTTCGTAAATAAACCATCATCATAGCCTCCAGTATTATTAAATTTATTAACAATTTTTAAACGTCAAAATCCTACCTCTTTAAAAAAGTCAAATTTCTCATCACATGATTTTATCTTACTAACTTCTATGTTAGTATGATTTTGCGAAGTTACACATGACACAATCTCTTGGATACTGTTCACAAAAAATAAATTAAAACCGTGTGCAATTTGGGTATTGTAAGTTAATTCTAAGCTGTTGAGTATGATTTTATTTAACGATTTCCCCCCTCCCTGGTTAACACTGAAAGTTAGAAATGGAAGTGGTATGTTGGCATCTTTTGAAAGGGCATTTTCTTTAAATTAACCCTATGTTTTTGAGCTACGCTTCGCCGAGCAATGGAATTCTAAAAATTTTACTGGACCGCTTATTTAAAAATTTAGTAAAGCAAAAAAATTGTCTTTAAACTAATATCAGTCGACAAATCGGCTTAAACTTCAGTAAAGTGGTTGATGTGGATAGTTCGTTATTTCTGTGCTTTTATTTTCTTTCGATTTGATAAAAAATGGTTTATTTTATTGCGAAGAGAGTGGAAATTATTTAATTGTATTTTATAAACAATGTTCAACTTTGTTTAATGAAAGGAATGCAAATAGACACGTACATTATGATTATATCCTAGAATTAATAGCAAAATTCCGGCAAACTGATTAAGTGGCAAATAAAAAACAAGATATTGAAAATTTGGTAATAAATGAGGCAGGAGAAGTAGCTGTTCTGAGTGAAATTACTTTAGACCATACATTATGTACCAGAAAACTTTTTGACGTAACGGGAGTTTAGCGGGCCACCGTACAAAGAATTCTGAAACATAATAAATGGCAACCATATAAAATACAACTTCTTCAATAATTGCATGAATATGATAATTACCGCTGTTTAAAATTTTAAAAAATAATGCTCTAAATTATTATAAATACTCCCAACTACCTTTTGAATGTTTGCTTCTCAGACGAATGTTTATTTTTTCTCAATGGCATTATCAATCGTCTTATTGTCGTTATTCGTCCAACACGAATCCAAGAATCTTCCATGAGGTTCATCCTCAGAAACTTGTGTTTGGGCTAGTATTTTTAGTGATCACATTTTTCTCACCGGGAAATTTAAATGGAGCTATTTACTTAGACTTGTTGCATAATGCGGTCAACCCAGCGCTGATCAAAATTATGGAAAACGACCAACGTTACCATGAAGACAAACCGATACTTTATCAAGACGGAACTCCTCCACATTAGGCATTACCTATACGGCAGTTTCTGGATGAAACGTTTCCTGGTAGATGGATTGGGATAAGAGCCCGCGAGATCACCGGATTTATCTCCCTTGATTTATTTTTGTGGGGACATCTGAAATTCAAAATGTATGCCACCCAACCTAAATCCTTGAAAGATTTACGAAACCGCATCACTAATGAATGCCAAGAAATTACACCCGATATACTTTGTACAGTTGCTGTACTATTGTATGTAGGTGAATGGCGGAAATTTTTAACAATTAATTAGATAATACATCAGTACCAATCAATAAAACTAAATTAAATTTCTCGGCAACCAGCAGCAAAACTAAGGGCCATAATAAAGAAAATTTAATGCCCTTTCAAAATATGTATCACAACGCACCACTTCCTATTTGAAAAAATAAGGGGGAATTCTGTCCCCGCTAAGGGGTTGAAGTTACGCTGATTAATGTGTAAATATGTTCCCCTAAAAAGCAAAGTATACGGTTTCAAAGATTTTTTTTATTTTTACATACAAAGCCTTGCATACATAACTTGCATGCATACCTTGCATACATACTAGGGTGAGCCAAAAAAACTAACCTATCGGATTTATGGGTTAAAATGAACCTACATACCGAGCAAAAAATTTTCCTGCAAGGAAAAATTTTTTGCTCAATTTTAAAAGGTGTCGGTGAGCATTCTAAGTTTTCCATTGAAATAACACGTAAAAAAATCTTTTTTCATTAAAAAAAATATAACTTTTGAACCGTTTGAGATAAAAAATTTTACGTCGCGGATTCTTGTAGAGCATATAATTTCCTACAAAATCTATCCCAGAATTATTTTTTTTCAATTTAAAAATTCGTATATTTGAAAGCTTTGAAAAGTGAAAAAAATCATAATATTTAGTTTTAGTGTTTTTTGACTCAAAATGTTCATTAGGGTGTTTCATTTAAAACGAAAATTTTTTTTTCTTGCTGACACATGAAAATTTCGGTTTTTAGGTTAAAAAAAAAATTCCCTGAAAATTCGAGCCCTTAATTTTGATTCTAAGTACTTCCTTTTTAATTTTGTAGTTTTTCCATATAAAAAGCATGTATTTTTAATCATTTTTACTTTAAATTTCTATATTTTGGCTGGGTTTTGAATTATAATTTTTATCACCATAATTTTCTGCATAGTATTCACGGTTTTGAAAGGCCCTGCATCAATTTTGTTTTTTATTTATTTACGTTGATTGTAGTAGCTCCAAAAGTCGTTTTTTCACTTTTTCTCACATATTTTTGAGAAAATCCATCGAATGACTGGTTTTACCCAAAAAGTTGTAGGAAATTTAATTTTTGACAAAAAAGGTTCTTACGTTCATATCACTAAAGTGCTTTGTTTAAGAGATATAAGCAATTCAATAACCAAAAACAAAGAAAAAATAGGTTTTATTGAAATTTATGTAATTTCATTCAACAACTATATATTGCTTATATCTCTTAAACAAAGCACTTTAGTGATATGAACGTAAAAACCTTTTTAGTCAAAAATTAAATTTCGGTAAAACCAGTCATTCGCTCGATTTTTGACGACTTTTGGAGCTACTATAATCAACGTAAATAAATCAAAAACAAAATTGATGCAGGGCCTTTATTATGGTGATAAAAATTATAATTCAAAACCCGGCCAAAATATAGAAATTTAAAGTAAAAATGATTAAAAATACATGCTTTTTATATGGAAAAACTACAAAATTAAAAAGGAAGTACTTAGAATCAAAATTAAGGGCTCAAATTTTCAGGGAATTTTTTTTTCAACCTAAAAACCGAAATTTTCATGTGTCAGCAAGAAAAAAAAATTAAACACCCTAATGAACATTTTGAGTCAAAAAACACTAAAACTAAATATTATGATTTTTTTCACTTTTCAAAGCTTTCAAATATACGAATTTTTAAATTGAAAAAAAATAATTCTGGGATAGATTTTGTAGGAAATTTTATGCTCTACAAGAATCCGCGACGTAAAAATTTTTATCTCAAACGGTTCAAAAGTTATATTTTTTTTAATGAAAAAAGATTTTTTTACGTGTTATTTCAATGGAAAACTTAGAATGCTCACCGACACCTTTTAAAATTGAGCAAAAAATTTTTCCTTGCAGGAAAATTTTTTGCTCGGTATGTAGGTTCATTTTAACCCATAAATCCGATAGGTTAGTTTTTTTGGCTCACCCTAATACATACCTTGCTGTGTTTTAGATGGGCCACCCTATATATATATTAGGGTGATTAAAAAAATCTCATTTTTTTAACGTTTACGACAAATTGGTTGCTTGGCACCTCAAAAGAAGCATATCTACCTATAAGCTCTTGCAATTAAGAGTAAGATGCTCCTCAT